CCGGAGGGTGGCTCTGTTGACTGTTTCGCTTCTGAAGAGGCGAGGACCCCATGGCAGATGGCAATGACCAGCCGAGACAGATACAGACCTTGCAGCTCTCCTAAGAGTGATTTCAGAAAGGCCACTTTTGAGGTGGGCTGTCTCCGTGGGGCTGGCCGGCAGCTCTGGCGGGAGAACTGAGGAGGCAGAGCAGAAAGCTCCAGGCCACAGCCTGCAGGAGGAACAGTCTGGTACGACATGGCACGTAAAGAGGAGTGGGCCACCAGCAAGAAAGACTGGGAAGCGGGTAAGCTGGTTCCCAAGAGGTGGGTTCTTTGGCACCCCTAAACATCCAAAGGCTGGCTCTAAGGATGGGATGGATGCAGAGCTCATGTCGCTGATGACAGCAAGCCTCGGTTGGAATCACCTGGAGGACTTGTTAAAGAGATAGCTGGGTTGCACTCAGAGTTCTAATAAGTTCACAGGTGATGCTGATGCTGCCGGTCCAGGGGCCACAGTTTGAGAGCCACTGGCCTAGTCCCTCCCAGCTGTTAGGCTACCCGACCCTCTGAGGTCTGTCATCATTACCTAACCACAAAGCACATTCTTACTCCACTTTTTTCAAATACAGTGTTCATAGGAGCCACTGTTTAAAGCACAGCAAATATAACCTCCACTCAAGTTATATTAAGATTGTGAACATAAACTTCACCCCCAGCATCCAATACAAAAGAACCCGCATCTATCGTCTGTTTTAACTTGTTCAAACAGTTCCTTGCCCCCATTAACGTGAATGATTGGGAGTCAACCAGACTTAAGATTTATTGCTCATGGAACGAGTGCTATTACCTGGACTTGAGAAATATTTGAACTCCTTTGACCACGGTCTGCCGTCTTAGACTTGGGAGTGGAAATGCGAGTTTCCGGTTGTTCTGAAACTTTTCCGCCATGATCACGATAAATCTGATGTGCGTGAAGCAAATCTCTTAATTGCTTCTGGAGCCTGAAATCCAGATGGGTGCCTTGGTTTCGGCAACACACAGTATATACTCCTGGACTGCCACCATTTGTTTGTTTTTCCCATTCGAAAACTGTCTCTTTAAAGCTTGACTTTAATTTCCCACCAACCTTGTGGGGCTGATGTAGTAAAACCCCAACTTTTGGTCAGCAAATGAAATAAACAGTTTTCAAGACACATCTGGAGTAAATATGGATGGTAAAGAGGTGCTACTTTTACCATCACTTTTCTGACCATCCGCTTCACAAATTATTTACAGGTCTCTCAGAAACTGGCTTCTCTGTTACTCAGTCGGCCGAGGGGGCCGGGCTCAGCCACCGACCCTGATATGCTCATGCTCATGCGACTCATTACTGCAAATGGAGGTGTTGGCCCCAAGTGCTCTGGAGCAGCTGAAAACTATCCCATTATGTAGCACCCAATCAAGGCCTTTTTCTTCTTTTTTTAAATTCTTTTCTTGACTCTCACCACATGGAAGCGTTTTGAGAACTGGTTGAGGGCTTCGTGAAGCTATTCCGGGACTCCCCGCGCCGACGACAGGCCTCACTTTGATGTCTGTGGTAAATGGCTGTTCTGGGGAAGTGCGTTCTCTGATCCCCCCACCCTCCTTCCTTCCTATCGCCACCAAACACGGCGGCTTTCTCAAGTAGGTTTGGCAAAAACCGTACAGTTTTTACACTTGGTCCTAGTTTCCAAACACGCTCTTCCAAATTGGCCCAGTGTTTGCCTGTCCTCTTTCCTGACAAAGCGGTGTGGGAAGGACAGTCCCGGCAGCGCGGTGAAGGGAATATCGTCAACGAGAACATACCAAACACCTGTGAACAACTGTCATGTGCCAGGCACTGTGTTGAGCCCCTTAGATGTACTATCTCATGTAATCTTAAAAATGGCCCTAGGTGTCAATACCACTATCATTCCCACATTGAAGATGAGAGAATTAAAAGAATAGACAGTATGTTCTATCTGGGGCGACAAAGCTGCTAAGTGAAGAGACAAACAGGTTTTGAACCTTTTTTTATAACTTAAAGCGTAACATATTTAGGAAAATGAAAAATCCTGAGTGTATAAAGCTCAATGAATTTCATAAAATAAACACACTCATGTATATACATATATAAGAACACTCGAGCCAATGTATGTATAACATATACATGTTAATATATATTACCAGCACCCAGAAGCCCCCTTCCTGCACCAGTCATTAGCCACTCACTCTGCACAGGGAACTGTTATCACGACCTCTTAGATCTTAGATTAGTTCTGCCAATTTCTGAACTTAAATGGAACCAATATGTATTGTTTTGTGTTCAACCTTTTTTTGTTTTTTTACCCAATATGACAGTCGAGATGTATCTATGATAGTGTGTAACAGTATTTTCATTGCTGGCTAGTGTTCTATGGTGTGAACATCCAAAAATTTACTCTATTGTCAATGGGCCAGGGTTATGTATAAACTTGGGCCCTCACAAATGATGCTATGAGACACATTTTGGTACACCATGCCTACCGATGACACATATAGACACATTTCTGCTGGGCATACATCCACCTGGGAGTGGAAGTGCTGGGTACATTCAGCTTGAACAGATGCTAGCATTTCAACCTGTGCGTTACAAGTTGGCAAATGCCTTGAGGGTATTACAGACTGAACCACGCCTCCTCCCCCCAACTCTTATGTGGAAGCCCCAAATTCCCGTGTGACTCGGTCTGGAGATAGAGCCTTTAGGAAGGTAATTAATGTTAAATGAGCTCACATGAGCCCTAATTTGACAGGATGGGCATTCTTTCAAGGAGTGGAAGAGACACTGGGACTCACTTGCTCTCTTAGCACATACTAGAGAACACAGTGGGAAAGTGACTGTCTGCGGCCAGGAAAGTACAGTCCTCACCAGAAACCCAACCTGTCCGCACCTTGATCTTGGACTTCAGGCCTCCAGAACGGCGAGAGAATAAATGTGTAAGGCACCCAGTCTGTGGTGTTCTGTTGTGACAGCCCGAGCAGACTAAGGCAAGGGGAAAGGTGGTACAGAAGTTGGGGCTCACCTCAATGAGCTCTCCTTCTATTTAGGATCTTGGCTTTTCTCCTCCTGGCGTCCTGGCTACGCTGAGCTCGCAGCTTTGTCTCCCCAGCTCTTTGACTCTGCCAGAGCTCAGGTCAGGGCTGTGGCCTCTTAGTGGCTCTGGTGTGGTTTTCAGCCCCTCGTCATTGGGCCCCTTCCAACACAGCAACGCCTCGAGGGAAAAAGGGCTTCAGGGGTGGCCTGTCAAGGTTTACTCTGTCATTACTGGAAACAGAAGTCTAATTGGTGGTTGTTAAAACAAGGAACTTACAAATAACTGCAGAAAAACAGAAGGCCAGCAGGACTAACTCGGCAATTCTGACCACTTTCAATTACAGTATTTCTCAGTCAAACACCTATTCAAATGTAAAATCTGCTATGTTTTGAAATATCCACCTGACACAATTTTTTCCTCTAAGGATGTCTCTGTTTGGAACCCATGCTTTCTAGGTCTTTGTTAACTTAGAGAATAGAGAATTTTCTAAACGGAGAGGTGATTTCCCTCAGAATGATCAGAATTGCCTGGCATTGTTTTTGGGAAAAAAGTTGTTTAAGAAATACAACCATTCAGTGGCCCTTGAATAAAATGTCCCATGGACCATCGTGTTCCCCTATTAGAGGTAGGGCACCGGGGAACTCAGCCACTTGGTGCCTCAGTTTCTTTGGCTGTATAAAGGGAACATTCAGATCTCTGAAGTGTTTTCAAATCTCCAAAACACAGGCAATCTTCTGTGTTAACTCCCAGCACCGACTGCAGGATGGTGCTCCACGACTAGCTGACGTCTCAGCCTCCTTCACTGGTTCTGAGCTCCAGGTGGAGGCCATGGCCTGCCCGATAGATGGTGCAGTGGTCCGGCCTGTACTGAGCACATGGGGGCTCTTCTCACACTGGCCTCCCGAGTGTTCCCTGAAATAGTGTGCCACACACTGGAGGGCAATGGTCTCCCCGGCGAAGTCGGTAAGTGGCGTTGTCCTATCATAGGGAATGGTCAAAATCACTCTAGAAAACCCCTTAAAAGGCCCACAGGGTACAGTTCAGGTTTCATGCTGTGGTGCTTAACAGCATCCAGTACAGCATACCGTTGATTTTAATAACTAGAAAGGAAACCAAAGACCCAGCATTCAAAGCCCTCTGCCCCTGTAACACCTATGGAGCCCCTGAAATGAGTGGAGACATGTGGTGAGGGCTGAGGAAGGCTCGCTCACCTACTGCATGCCCCTCGCCCATTCAGCGTTGACTGTGAAGCCTCTAGGATTTTTACCCCAGAATTAGAGCTTTTTTATTGTGAAGTGGACGAAGTGGGTTAGGTTCTCAAGTCAATGACAAGGCTGGCTCCCAGCACATCCCTCCTTTGGAGAGTCCCAGTCTGAAAAAGTTCTGGGTAAGTTTAACTTACATCCAGCTTCGCAACGTCTTCTGACCCTGGCACTTGCTTCTGGGGTGTATGGTACTTACTGACCTTCTATGAAACAGGTTCAGTGTGACCTGCCAGCGCTGGAGCCCTAGACCATTCCTCAAAGCCTTTCTGACTTACTTTATAAACAATCCTTAGTACAGATATCTACCTGCCTTCAGGGCAGAGGGATTCAGAACAGATGAGAAATAAAGATGAAGAAGGTTGTCAGATTAAAAAGAAAATGGACAGCTAACACCCTGGCAGGAATGGAAGGCACAAAGAAATCACAAAGCACCCATGGCGCTATTTTCAGGTGTTCGACAAATATTATCGAACGGTATGATCACGGAGGTTCAAAAGAGTAGCAATCGGGTCCACAAGAGAAGGTGACATCCTTGGTAAGTTTAATGGTAGGAATACATTTATTACTTTTCACCACGATGAAAATGTGTGGGCATCTAAAGGCAAGACTCAATAGCTGGAGAGATACCCGCAACAGGAGCAGGTGAGAAACCGTCCCTTCGTCCGCTGCTCTCAGCTCCCCGTCCTCTCCCTTCACACACTGCTCCTGTCAGGCCTCTCGACAGAGGCCATGCCAGCCGTTCCAACACGCTTCAGATCCTACAGAAGTCGTAAGAGTCTTGAGTTCTGTCAGCCAGGAAGGCATTGTGGGGAATTTAACCCGAAATGTTCTTTTTAAGGAGGAAAGTCTAATGAGTTGATTTCAAGATACCAGAACACAAATAAAAGTTTATCTTTTAGGTCACGTCCACTTGTGAATCAAATTCAGTACAGGATCGAGAGACTGCACTCTGGTCCATGTTGGTGGTATCCCTCCCGTGGCCCGAGGCTCACTGTTCCAGGCTGTGGAGTCAGTCTTCAGTGAAAGAAAGCTTCTCCATCTTTGTGTGTGTGTGTTTGTTTTGAGGGAGAACATTTAAGAAATTTGCAGGAGCAGGGTCCTCAATCCCCTCTGCTTCCCACGGCGCGGGGCACAGCGTCGTCCTCCGTAAGCAAGCGCCGCTTCCGGCCTCACTCGTTGTACTTGGACAGCTTCAGCCGGGGGATGATGTTCATGGACTGCAGCTCCTGGAAGAGCAGCTTGCAGGCGTAGGGGATGCGGAGGGAGGACACGTGGCAGGAGGACTTGCAGTAATGGCACCTGAAACCCAAGTCTGCATGTGTTAGAGGGAAGGGAACCGGAAACTAAGGCCTGCGTGTAGAAGCGCGAAGTTTCTCTACAAAAGGCTACCACCACCCAGTCAGTTCTATTCGCCAGGGCTCAGTCCCACCATCAAATATGTGCAGATATGTGCCCCCACCCCCCAAAAAGCAGCATCCAAAGAAGCAAAAGAAAAAACCAAAACAAGTATCACTCCTGCAGTTGTAAAAGCATGCAAGTTTCATCAGTTACTACCATGCTTCTAGACCATTCTCTTTAAAATGCAAAACATCTGCCTATTTACTTGTTTTGAATGAGGCCCAGAAATCTGAGCCATCTCGAAGTTATTCAGATTTTGGCTTTTTTGTGTGGAAAGGTTTTTAAATCAGTTCAATCTCCATGTACTTGATAAAAATCTATTTATACTGTACTATTCAAGGCAAGATCAATGACAATTTGTCCCTGTGACACCTGAAGTGTGATGGGGAAGATAAGACTTTCCTACGGAATGTGCTGTCCAATCAAATGCGATTTGTTTTTCAAGTATTCTTTGAGCTTGGCTCTATCAGCAGGAGAAGCTACTGTACTTTCAACGTGCTCTCCCTGTGAGCATATTCCCATTTGATGCCTACAGCAGCCCGTGCTCCTAATCAATATGCCTGCTATACCAAAGAGGGCTTTCTCTTCTCTTCCTTCAGGAAGAGCTAGTTCACTAAACCTAAGTTTTAAATCAATGGCTACAAAAGATGAATTCCCAGGAAGAAAGTGAACTATCCTCTGAGGTTTCAGATGAACACAGGACTTCATCCTGTATCTCAAGGGTCTGGGGGCAGTCAACAGGGTAGGTAAATGAGTGCAAGAGGAATACAGACCGAGGCTTAGAGGATTCAGTGCTGACTGAGCACTGGAGGGGACTCCAACGTGAGCAGCAAAGGCCACTGTGGAGGGTGGTAAGGCAATACGAGTGAAAATGTAAATGTGCATATTATTTGATTAATCACAAAGTGACAAAGATGAGTGCCTGCGAATGCTCACGATGTATAACAGCACAAAGCAGGAGACTGCTCAAATGTCCCAAAGGAAATTGGTTTGTAGTTATAGGACATTTATACAGAACCATACTGAGCAGCCGTTAAAAATGATGATGTAGACCCATACCTGTTGAAATATAAAGGTGTCCAGGACACACTGTGGAGTCAAAAAAGAAGTCTGCTTAACAGCCTGCTTACCAGGAGGTCCTCAGATGGGTTTCAGTAAATATGTGAAGCTCCCAAAGTCATATGTAACAAGATTTTTTTTCTAAAGATTTTCTTGATACATTATTTTTTTTAAAGTTTATTTTGAGACAGAGACAGCACAGGTTGGGGAGGGGCAGAGAGGAAGAGAGAGAACACCCCAAGCAGGCTCTGCGCTGCCACTGCAAAGCCTCATGTGGGGCTCGAACAAAGCCGCGGAGACCATGACCTGAGCCAAGCGCTTGCTTAAGTGACCGAGCCACCCAGGTGCCCCAAATACATCATTGTTTAAGAGCTATGTTTTTAATGTGGCTGGTTGACCTCATTTACTCAGGAATCATGTTGATGCTTTAATTAAATTGGAGAAATGGATTTAACTGGAGCAACTTCTTGCTGACTCTGTCCATGTCACTCTGTGACTTCAACCCAGGCGTATCTATTCAAAATTTCCGTACTTGCTGGCTCATAATCCAGAAAACACACTAACCTCTATTATTAAATATTTCTCCATCACTTAAAATGCTCCTATGCATATGTGTATATGCATATATAAGTGCATATATTTATGCACATGTATAAATTAAAAGCTATTAAATTATCTTACCCTGCGTCTGAACAATTTCAAAGGGAAGAAACCTGACACAACAACAATTACATAAACTGACTTCTTAGGGCAAAGGCAGCAGGAGGAGGAGGTGGATGTGGCTTCACAGGAGAAATGACCGTCCAGCAAAATGTCCTCTATGAGCTAATTATCTTAATAGGGATTTTCTTTTCTCCGCGGTTTTCCTTCCAGACCTCTCTTTTGTGACTTATGCCCATCATGTCTTCTGCAGAAAAGTCTGGCTGTAAACATCCCCATAGCAATGCCTTACTAATGTGCAAATCACTGACAAAAGGCCAGTTTCGAGGTTCTGAACTGCTCTAATTACTCAGCCTCCATTGTGCTGTTCATTAAAGAGCGACTTCCTCCCACACACGCCGTGCCCCCCTCCCCCCGCCCGCCCGGGCAGGTAATGATGGCAAAGCCACGGCATCATTATGCTCCTCTGCCAGCGCGGCACAGGCGGACGCTGCTAGACGACCACACTGGGTTAGGATTTTTTTCTGTTGGCAACAAGGGGACAGGCGGGCCACTCAAAATCAGACACACAGCACATCCAGGTCTGTTTAATTACAGGAAAGACCTTGAGGCGTGTAACCTGATTTAGCTCCTTTTCAAAGGATTGCTATTAAAATACACAAGGAACACAGGAGCTTCGAAATCAGGCACTGTCATCACATGATCTCTAGATGAGACAGAAAATGAAGCAGGAAAGAAGAATTTAACAGAATAATATTGGGATCAATGATTGCTTTCATTAGTTTCCCTGAATATTCAGAGAAAGAGACAGGAAGGCTTTCGAAGTATGTGAGTAAATCTGGTCTACTGCGCTTGCTCGCTCTCTCTCTCAGGTGGGAGGCACAGGAAAAAAATGCAGGGAGGATGGAAAAGGGAAGGAAATTTCTTTACCATTTGAGAGAAAGATCAAATGAGTGAGCGGGGGAGGGGCAAAGGGAGAGGGAGAAAGAGAATCCCAAGCAGGCCTCGCGCTGTCACTGCAGAGCCCCGTGTGGGGCTCGATCCTACGAACTGCGAGATCATGATCTGAGCCAAAATCAAAAGTCGGATGCTTAACCAACTGAGCCACCCAGGTGCCCTGGAAATTCTTTTTTCAAGTTTCATGATCCCTATTATTAATAAAATGACTCTTCTGTACCACCCTTTCAAGGTAAACTACTTAAAAATCCTTGTGCTACATCTGAAGATTTCAGTGGAATTGGTCCCAAGCATCTTCCTATTACACTTGCGTGGCTGTTGTTACACAGCCAGGACAATAAAAAGCAAATTTCATATGCATTTCAGAAGATGAACAGACATCTCAGAATTGAGACAACCCCTCACTCCTGTCACAGGTATAAGAGCGAGCCAGGATTATGCTTAGAACAATAATGTCACCCATTTCGGCACCCTCAGGAAAGGAATGAGCCGCAAATGCCACCTCTTGTTTGTTTTAAATGAATTGATTTCTTCAGACAAGTCTCATCAACTCTTCTACACCAAAAACCATTAAATAACTGGCTAAAAGGTTCTGTCATGAGCCTAGCAAGGTGCATACACCATGTCCTAAGATGCCCCTCACTCTTGATTGGCTTTATTCAGAATAACTGAGAGACTGGAGGCTTAGGATAGCAAGAAGTGCCCGCTTTGAGGGGAGACTCAGTGGGGAAAAGGTGGCCCAGGTATCCCTCAAACTTGGCAAGGATCTCATCTGGGCCCAATTCTATCTACCAGGAGAAGGCACCTCCCTAGGGAGAAGGGGCTCTGGGAGTGCAGGGGAGGGGTGGTGAGGGAGTAAAGACTGTCTCCTGTCCCTGTAGCATCTGCTTCGGACCTTGTGGGACCTGGTCTCTGACAGAAAAGCAAGCCGAGGCTGGCAAGCTACAGACCCTCCTGCCTACAGGGTAAGTCGGGGCTCTGGTTTGGGACTAGCCTGAAACACAGCAGTTGTTCCTTGGTGGGAGAGTGGAACCTTTACGAGGAAGAAAGGCCAAAAATACATAGCTTCATCTTTTACGCTGGCCTTTGTGTACTGAACTCTGCACAGAAGTGACAAACTTCAGGATTTACATCATTTGCCTATTCGCAATCCTCCATATGCAGGGTCAGTTATCATTTAGCAACTGTTTTTCACTAAGCAACCACCAGGCCCAGGCTGGACGAGGCGTAAACAAGACAGAATGCAGTTAGAATGAACTAGAAGATAAGTTCCTCTGAGCAGCCATTCACTGGTCTTATTCACCCCTGTATTCTGGGGCCTAGACAGTGCCTGGGGCTTAGCAGCCTCTAACTGTTGGATGAATGACTGAGACAGACCTAGTTGCTGTCATCGTGGAGTTCACAGTCCAAGCGTAAAGCAGTTTGCTACCCAGAGAGCATAGCAAGGGTCAGGGTCCCTGTCCCACCTCTGTATGATCTGGAGCAATATATGGGGCTATTTGGGTCTGAAGTTGAATAAGGCCATTCGACATACATTCTCTAAAATGTTTCTAGTTACAGGGGCACCTGGGTGGCTCAGCAGGTTGAGCATCTAACTTCAGCTCAAGTCCTGATCTCACGGCTCATGAGTGTGAGTCCCATAATGGAGCTCTCTGCTGTCAGTGCAGGGCCTGCTTTGAATCTTCTGTCTTCTTCTCTCTCTGCCCCCTCCCCACTTGCACTCTCTCAAAAATAAATAAATCTTAAAAAATAAAAAAAGTTTCTAGTTACAAAATGTTATAATTCTCATGCCTAACAGTGAATCTGCTAGGATTTTTTTACAGGTGAACAGTGTCACAAAAGGTGTTTGAGGGGCACCTTGGGTGGCGTCTGACTCTCGATTTCAGCTCAGGTCATGATCTCACAGTTCGTAGTTTGAACTCCACATTGGGCTCTGTGCTGATGGTGCGGAGCCTGCTTGGGATTCCCTCCCTCTCTGTCTGCCCCTCCCCATCTCTCTCTCTCTCTCAAAAAAATAAGCAAACTTAAAACAAAAAGGTGTTCCTGATGATACTGAAAAGAAAACAAAGTCTATACTCCTTGGGTACTTAAACTCCAGTGGTGTAGAAAGCAGAACATGGGGCAGACAAACTAAACAGGTACATATAAAATCCCCAGTTCTAGGAATGCATGGATGGGGAAGGTCGGGGAATATGTGGGTGTGCTCCAGGGTCCGTTCTGGAGCTGTGATTTAAGAGCAAGGGGTGTGATGTGAGAGACATATGGTATCCACTTACCAGCCGGAATACCCCAGAAGTCCACACTGCCCACACACATCAACCTCAAAGGCATCACTTGAAATCATTAGTCTCTCTAGTAAAAGCATGCTGGCTCCATAACCGATTAAACAGTCACGTTCCATCTCTCCAAGACGCAGGCCACCATCACGAGATCGACCTTCGGTGGGCTGCCTTTGAAACAAGTTAGACAAACGTGTCATTTTTAGGTTAAACAGAGCATCACACGCTGGCTAAGAGCACGCGGTTTCAGAGAAGGGCTCACCCGGGTCCAAATCATTTCCCAGGAGGGTGACCTGGAGCAGGCGGCTCAGCCACATTTGCAAAGTGTAAAATCTAAGGCTCCCAAAGAGCCTTAAAGGAGAGGAGACGTAATACTAGGGATTCCTACTGTTATTATTAGGAGTGATAATAAAAATAATTGTGTAATATTGTATGACACAATAAATTAATATATAATCATATATATATTACTACTGTCATCACGATATCATCATTATTAGGACAGCACAGTCCCCAAGGCAGGAAGACGGTCTTTTGAGTCTTTTCAGGGATATTTCAGTTCTGTTATTTCAAAGTGGAGAAACTAAGCAGAACAGACTGTGGAAGAAACCCGGGTCCCTAGAAGTTAACGGCAGGGCTCCAGGGAGAAGCTCCACGTTATTAAGAAACAAACATGGAATGAAGCAAATGGATTTTTATAAAGTTTGGACTGGATGAGGAATCACGTGGAAGGACAGAGCCTGAGCCAGATGGGAAGTTCCCCCACGACTACAGGCATGAACGTGTCCCCCTCCTCCTCGGAGGGGGCAGTCTGGCTGGGAGCCAGGAGTCCCCTGAATGGATTCCCTGTGGCTGGTGTATCTGCTGTGCTTGGGAATACTTTAAAAAGGTTAAAATCAGGGATTCTGAAATCACACAGGCAACGCCACCCAGGCCGGGATGATGCAACATTTAAGGAGGAAAAAGCGAGCTCCCTGGCTGCCTGATTTGGGGTGACACTCCTTGAGCAGGAGCGGACCACAAACTCTCATCTGCTCTATCCCACAGGATCTTTTGCTCTTTGCTGTCGCTGCCAATTTCCCAAAGAGTGAGAAAGGTAAACAGAGCAGCAGCCAACGCGTGCTGAAATCTTACCTTTTTGTTGTTGCTAAAGGTTACATTAGGAACTAGATTTAAGTTGTAGATTATTTGTTGAAAGACATTTAGATATAAAAAACTTACAAATAGTCTAAATGAGCACACTATAGTAGAAACTTCCTCACTGAGCACAACTTATGTATGTCTTTACCTGAGGACAGGACACCTGGGGTAGAAGGGTCCCTCTCTCCCTGGCCACTGGGTAAGGGAAGGTGGCCTGATCACACATGGGCAGAACCCAGAACGTGAATTTAAACCAAGCTGAGGTAAGGGACTATGTGTGGGTAAATGCCTCCGGCAGTCTTCCCACACAATGCACTAAAGTACTAAAGTAGTTAAGTTTTTTACACAACAAAGCAGGAACTGTTTTGACACCTGTTACTCTGGACTAGTTCTTGGAAGTTATAACTGAAATGGGGGTTCTGCAGGGACTGTGCGCAGGGGAGAAATACACCCAACTCAAGCAGGGTCTCCCTGCTGGGTCACTGGTGTCCTGAGAATCTCAACTTCTCTCCCCTCCTCTGTAATTCTGGGCACACGTATGTCTATCATTTCAGCAGGTATGTGCATCTGCTTGGTTTTAAATGGTCACGGGATTGAGTACTCTACCCCTCTCCCTTGGTCTAAAAAAGTAAACTCACACATTAGCTGCTTCATCCCCAACCCTGCCCCCAGTGTAACATCTAAGCCGTGCTCAGTGAAGACAGGCAGGAAACAGGATATTTGTTGAGCATCCCCCATGGATGGGCACTATGTACATATGCCATACTCAAACATCTGACATTCACCACACACCATGAAGTGGGCATCCGTGTCATCACTTCATGTAGGAGAAAAACTGAAGCTGCGAGAAGCTACATGGTGTGTTGGAGGCTCACGGCAGAACCATAGGCGGAGGTGAGTTCACATCCCTGTGTCTCTGGCCTCAAGGCCTGTGTTCCCTCTCTGGGCCCGGGGTTCCTCGACCTCGGCATGAGCACCATGCTGAGCTGGATAATTCTTTGTGGTGGGAGCTGCCCTGTGCATTGCTGGGCATGTAGCAGTATTCCTGGCCTCCACCCACTGGATGCCAGTAGTTTCCTGTCTCACCCAGCTGTGACATCCCAAGATGTCTTCAGACAGTGTCAAATGTCCCCTGGGAGGCAACCTTGCTTGTGGTTGAGAATCACTGTCGTGGACTATGCTTCTCCAACTAGTACTAAGCACATGTGATGTAGTACTAAGAACTAAGTACTAAGAGCACGTGAAACAGGACCTGCTATTTCCTTTCCAACAATCACACCCATTCATCCACACACAGACACTGTGCTTGGCATTGAGAATGTGCTGGTGAATGGGGCACAGGTGGGCCTCCCGGAGCTTATTCGAATGAGAAGGCCAGTGCAGGTGCCTTATGCCCCAATAACAGAAGTTTTAAGAAATGAATTGTGGCTTGGGCTCCCAAACAAAGTATATATGTGTTTTCTGTGTATAAACGGCAACTCACAGGTGTGTCCACATGTGTATCCGTGGTGGGTGTGTAAGTGGTGGTGTGTGTAAGTGTGTCTACATTCTTATATCCAAACATTTTTGAATAAGACCACGTTTGCAAACAGGTACACAGTCGATGACTGTGATAGGTGGCTGCTGGGCAGGCCTACGATGCGTCTGCTCTTGAGACTATGAAATGATTTTCTAGGCGGCTGCTGTTTTTTCATGCTGACTGGACATCTATGATTTTTGCTGACGCCCAGAACTACAAATTTTGACATCTCAGAGAAAGAGAAACTTCACGGAGTCAGCTTATTGCTATATCTGGGCAAAGCAGGGTAGACTCAACTGCATTATAAATTCTTTTCGTACACGCCTTTTCTCTTACCTGGTAAGAACGGCTCGCGGTCCCCGGGCCCGGGCATGCATCTTGTCCAGCACCATGTGCTTCAGTTTCTGATAGTACACCGGGCCAAAATAGATGTATGCTTCTAAGGGCTCGCTGAAAGGAAAGAGCAGAGTTTGGGGCTAAGGAACCAAGTTTGGGCTAACAGACAGCCTTTTCCAGGATCCCTCGCTGGCACGGCCTCATTTGTTTCCGACCAGGTTTATGAATGGGAGAGAATGATTTTCAGCATGTGCTGAATAAAAAGGGAAGATCTGAAAATATAAAAATACCGTGGATACTTAGAAGACACACTGTTTAATTAAGAAATAAAACCTTAAACAGACTGTGAAAAAGTATGTAGAGGAAGGTCCCTCCTTCACCGTCCTCGCCCTCATCAGGCCGCTGCCCTTATTGCCTGGACTCTTGCACACAGTCCCTGCTTCCGCTCATACCCCTGAACAACCCGCTTTTCACGGACAGGCCAGAGCGATTCCTTCTAAAGCGTCAATCACAGCAGGTCATTCTGCTCTATATACCAATGGTTTCCTACCACACTCAGAATTTGTATCATCCAAATTTTGTAGCAGAGCAATAAGGTCTAACATCATCTGGTTCTTGCCCACCTCGGACTCCTTTCCTGTTCCCTTTCCCCGTTGCGCATTCCACTCCAATAACACTGGCCTCTTCATTGTTCCTCAAATGTAGGAAGCCTGTCCGCCTCAGGGCCTTTGGACTTACACTTTCTTTGCCTAAAACATTCTTCCACCAGGTATTCACATGGCTGTCAAGCAATTCACCTCCTCAGATACTTTCCTTTCCCTCACCACCTTATCTAAAGAGGAGTCCTGCTCTCACCTCATCACCGGGCCTCCACACTCTCTCAACGCTTACTTCTGCTTTGTTTTCTTCAGAGCACTAATCACCACTTGGTATTATAATCCGCATTACTATTCCCCCGATTATTTCCTGTCTTCCCCGCCTGAAGTAAATGCAGGATAAGCACTCTGTCTCTCTGCCACTGTGGCTCCAGCACTACTGACCCTGTCTGGCACATAACTAGTGCTCAGGAAATGTCTGTTAAGACAGCTAACTGAATGCATCTTTTGAAAGACTGTAGTAAAAGTTGGTGAATATTTCAGTGCTTTAACAGAAGAAACCTTTTTTCTTCAGTTTGGAGCAACAGCAGGCAGGGGATTAAAGCCTCTTAAACAATTTGAACTGCCTCAGAACTTCCTCAAAAGAAAGGGAGTTTTGTGCCCTTTACTTCATATGCCACCCAGGGAGGATGGTACTGTCATCCTTATTTTTAAGATGAAGACACAGGCACAGAGGGTCTGAGAAGTTTATAGGAGCTGAGGAGTGGGATGCAGCAAATCCAGGCTCTCCCTGCCACACCGGCCCATCTCGAACCCAGTACACGTGGGCCATGGCATGACGTGGGAGTGGCGAGAGCAAAAGCTATGCGGTAGAGACACATCAGAGCACTTGGCCCTTCCTGCTTGGCCTGTCTTCCACCACCTTCTAGCTGTCCAGCCACCTCACTGGCTTAAGGACAGCCAGATTCTTGGAAGACACAGAGTGGGGTGCAGGGCACAATGGACACGGTGTCCAGAGATACCGCTCCTGTCCTAGCTCTGTCACCCAGTCATTACATGACCTCTTTATCTCAGTCTTCCTAGTACAAGGGGGTCAGACCAAGGTTCTTTCCAGCTCTGATAATCAAGGTTCCAAACCTTCACAGCACGGCTGCTCGTGGTAGAATTTATGGAACTCTGTCACCCAGTGCCACTCCATCCCCAACTGAAGAGAGCCGTGTGCAATTCTCCTTCCTAGTTATGCTCAAGGATGTGGTGAGGGGGTGAAGCTCGTGGGTGAATGTGTTTGCGAGCCCTTCGGGGAACTTTCAACTAACAAGCTAAACTAATGCTTCTCAAACTCTGCCGCTGAGATGAAGGGCAGACACAGGAAAACACCAGTGGGGGCGTGGCAGAGGTGCAGTCGGAACCTGAAACAATCCATCATACGCAGAGAATAACCCACCCAAATCCTTTAGTAAAATGATGTTCAGAAGGTCCATCAAATCCACTCATTGGTTCTGCACACTTTCCGGTCAACTTCTGCATTATTTCTGGATGAGGAGCAAAGACTGAGACCATCGGTTTTCTCCATGACAACTGTGATTTTTGAAATAGATGTCAGCTACTTCGCTGAATCACTTTGGAAATTGACCATTATTCTTTTCCTGTGTCTCAGGCACGATATGCCTAGGGAAATCTATGTTATCACAGTTGGATAGATCATTGTAGAAAGCACTGATATTTTTAAAAGATACAGATTCCGACCATTGTAATCCCATCTGGCTGGTCTACATGCAGCGCTAAATCAAGCCCTGGGTCCTTACACACACTTTCACGGCCAGTTTCACTTGTGTTCAAGTGGGGTGAAGCCTCAGAAAAGCGGTATAAACACCATGTCCCAGAGTCTTATCTGGCATAAAACACAATGTGTGTCTTAACTTAAGTAACTGATTTGATCCTTTAAAACCATGTGAGTCAAGCTTCCAGAGCCTGTCCTGTTTCTCCCTGGGGAACAGGAGGAACCAGTGCCCGGCTCATGAGAAAGTGCTTTCCCTTCTGCGGCCTCACCTCAGGTGAGCGGAGGTCTGCCCCTTGGAAATGTCAAACCCACTTCTCCTCTGCGTGAAACACTCTTCACATGGTCTACTCTTCTCATCCTCTGTATCTGGTGAAACACCCACCTCCTCAGAGACCTCTCCTAACCCATTCTTTCCCTTCATTTTGGTGAGAGCTATTTGTACTGATTTGTTCTCGTTCCTTTATTGAGCAAATATTTATGGAGTGCCCACTGTGTGCAGACACTGGAAATAAAGCAGTCAACAAAACAGATAAGACTTGCTCTCACGGAGGAGGCGGCAGTACTAGGCAGCATTATCACATGGGGTATCTGATAATGATGAACGGTACAGAGAAAAATCAGGTAGGACATGGGCAATATACTGGGGTGTAGTTTTCTTTTTTCTTTTTTTTTTTTTTTACTATTTTTATTTATTTCTATGAGAGAGAGAGAGAGAGAGACACAGCGTGAGCTGGGGAGGGTCAGAGAGAGAGGGAGATACAGACTCTGAAATAGGCTCCAAGCTCCAAGCTGGCAGTCAGCACAGAGCCCGACGCGGGGCTTGAACCCACGAACCGCAAGATTATGACCTAAGCCAAAGTCGGACGCTTAACAGACTAAGCCACCCAGGCGCCCCATGGGGTGTAGTTTTAAATTAAGAAGTCAGGGTAGGTCCTGTTAAGAAGTTATCTTGTGTCTTATTTTTTCAGTAAGTCTAGTAACAAACTTGAGTGGTCAGCTCCCTAGTTCAAGGACCCTGTTTATTTTGTTTACCATTACATACTTAGTACCAGCACATGTTACATGTTTCACAGGTCAGTGAATGAATAGAGAAATGCCAGGCCTCAGGCTGCAGAGCACTAATTATCTGATATTCATCCTATTAATGCAGAGAAAGTTCAGTAGCTACGAGGTTTTGCATTGTACACCATGAAAAGTTGTACAGATATCCTATTTTGGTAAATGAACTCTTTTCTACTTTTTAAATGATCGCCTAACCAGGAAGAACAGCACTCCTTAATCAGTCACTTTTCTGAATTTGGATTTCCTCCCCTCGGCACCATTTTATTGAGATACAACTGACTTCTTACGCTCTGAGCAAGTTCAAAATGAGCAACATGTTGATCTGACCCACTTACATACTGCAAACTGATCAGCACTAAGGCTTTAGCTAACACCTCCATCGCAAAATCAGTTTTTATGTCCAATTTCTTAAAAGAGTAAAGCTTCTCATAAAGTATACCACAAGGGCTCTGATCTCTTATCCTAATAAAATCACACTTTCCTTTAAAGTGTCTTAAAAGCGCACTTACCCTGTGATGCCAGATGTAACGTAGTCTTTCCCGAGGTAGTTATAACCATGGCGAACGAGGTCCTCACACACGTCCTTCACTTTACTGCCTCCAAATGCGGTGCCATAGTGGAACCTGCCGTCCAACACGCCAGCCTTGCCGGCCAGCAGCTCGATCAGCTTGCCCACCTGTGGGGTCCAACAACCTAAGTGGGCACCTTCCTGGGGCACAGGACTCCTGTCTGTTTAGCTGCAGCTCCTTCCCTAAACAGCTGTGAGACAGCAGCAAAGTCCTCGCTCTCTTTCTGTGCGACACGTGGGATCCAAGATTATGCCCCCAGAGCCCCAAGAGATGAGCACTATTCTTTCCCTCACTGTATGGATGAGGAAACGGAAGCACAGAGAGGCTGAGCAGCTTTCCCACGTCACACAGCCAGTAAGTGGCAGAGCCAGGATTGCAAAGCAGTAACCATGGAAGGGAGACGCGGTAGGGTCAACCCAAGAGGTTCTTTTTGCTGAGGGGCACGGTGTGGGGTGGGATGAGGGGAAGACTGCTGTCGAAGGGAAGGGCAGACACTTCTACACTTCTCTAAAGAGTAGCCTAGCACTGTCAGGACCTAGGAACCTCTTCATTTGGCAAAAGGGTCAAAGGGCCCTTTCTAAAAAGAATGTGCAGGCCCCCATGGCCAACACTCTCCACGAACCCACAGCCTGCCTTCTTCCTGAAAAGCGGTACCTCTGAAAAACATACTGACCGTCATTCGTGATGGGAAGCCGTGTGGGTTCATGATGATGTCCGGGCAGATGCCAGAGTCACAAAATGGCATGTCTTCCTGAGGGACGATCAAGCCGCAAACACCTGGGGGGACAGAAGATCTCCGCCATGTAACAGACACCGGCAGAAAAGAGACCACCGTACTTAACGGGGATCTCCCCGCTGTGATCTCTATTGTGGTGTCCACGGTCTCCATCAAGAGTCACAAAGGCAATTTCCAACAATCCTGCCAGGTACACAATCCGAAAACGGCTGTCCCCTAGAGAGCGTTGTAGACTGTGGGCTGGCCTGCTGGCATGACAGCGGCTGCTGCTGTCAGGAGGCCCCGCCCGACCTCTCGCGCCACGGAGGCCCAAGAACGATGGCTTTGTGGCGATTTCACTCATTGTCAGCTAGTCTGTGATCTGCTCTGCACCGTAGCCCAATCACAGGAAACCCACTCCTGTCACACGCAGAACCACCTGAACGACAGGTGTGTCCACACTATGGTTTTAAAAAACTGTGACAAGGAGGATCCGTGTGAGGCTGATTTGCTAACAGGGCAACCAGAGCGCTGGCTGGTGGGGCTGGTTTTTGCCAGGGCTTCCCTGGCTGAGCCTATACTGCCCTAAGGCATTCTAATTCCTATCGCTTATAACACATTAGGAAAGTGACCTTTGATTGACGCCGTAAAGTTGAACAAGAAAATTAAATGCCAGATTACTCTTGGAAGAAAAGACTGGAGTCAGAAACTAATTCTAGGAATGAAAACAGAGTAGAACAAAAACCTACCAGCTCCCATGCACACTACTGATGGTCCCTTAAATTAACTGTATTTTTATTACTCTCTTATTATTCCGACCTGTAAAGGATTTTGTTGCTTAATCCCTCTGATTTCATTTTCTTGGTAGGAGGGATGGGGCATCAGTTAGATTGTTAACCGCAACCTACATAATTTATAATTGGAAAACTAGTGTACAATGGCACTGGATGGAGAAATAAAATCCTTTTACGTTTACAAAGATAAAATTCCTTTTCCCTTGTATATAAAGTTATCAACCGTGTACACTGACTGCAGAGAAACTGCTCTCAAGAAATTCTTCATTCCTCAGTTTGATTTCTATATAATTACTGCAACTATTTTGAAATAAAATTTTTGTGATGTGTTCTAATCACCAAGAGCTAGAGGCTAAAGAAAAAGAAAGCCATGTGCTTTCAATATCGGTTATTAATATTCCGATTTCCAGTGGCTGCCAACAATATGGTAATTAGGTTCATGGTGTTGAATTCTAGATTATGTATGTATGTACCATAATTGACTTTTTGGTTGAAATGGTACTGTTTATTATTATAAAGAACGTATGCTTTCCTACAGGAAGAACAGGAACAATCATTCAGTTCAGTTCAAACTCAACTACAAGGTCTTAGAATTTAAATCAAGCAGAGTGTGTGGCTCCTTCTTTCTTCCCTCCCAAAATCCATCTTGTCCACACTGAAATTATCTAACAAACACTAGGGCTACTGGGAAATCTACTCTGAAAGAGATCAAATTGTAAATCTAGGTGCACCGACAACAACATTGTGTAGCAGTGAACAAAATGTTAAAAACGGCAATTCCTGCAGAGGCCGGTCCGGGGACGTGCTCTGGGGAGAATGTCACTTTGGCTGGTGAGGAGGTGGAGGCTTTGGCTATATCCCTTCAAAACAAAACCAAAGGAAGATCTCGGCACCCTTCAGTAGCAGTGCACAGGGGGAAGGCGGCGTCCACCCCCCCACACGGGAAGGTGGGAGTGAGGGGAAGGAGGGCAGCAGCTCCAAGGAAGCAGGGAATACTTATATGGGGGGAGGGTAAGGAGAGAGGTAATTTGCATTTTGTATTTTTAGTTTTAGTTGACATGTTTAATCAAGCCAACCTAACTTTGCTATGAAAGTGAAAGCAATGCTCCTTCCCCTGAAATCAGAATCTCTAATAACTTTGCTTGAAACCTAATTAAAATGTAGTGTGGTTTTCCTTTTTGGGAAGTAATTATATCAGCCCCTTTTTGACGTTGCATTTAAAAACACATGTAAGTTAACTTTGGGATTTTTTTTCACTCCATTATAGGAACTGCTTTGGCCACATCCGAATCAAGGGCACCTGTAAGCCAAAAATTAAATCTTAGCTAACTTAAAATTACTTTAGGCTCTGAAAAACCCTTTTATATGCCAAGATGGTTCCCATAGCAGACAGCCCTGTGTTGTTTGTTTTGTGTGAAAGTGAATGATAAAAGATCCATGAAATCGACACAGAAAGCCAGAACAGCAGAAAGAACTGAGGGCTCTCCATCACTGGGGCTTCTACCCTCTGCTGACTCGCGGAACAATGGAAGCTACACATCCAACTGCAGATCTAACACAGCTGTGCATTTCATTAGATGAAGAGCACTAGTGACACAAGTAAATAATTAACTTATTCTGGTCCGCTGACTGTGCTTATGAGACCAGTCATAGCTGACAGATTTTAATACAAGTTAACACAAAGAAACCATAATGAGCTTAGAAGTTAAAACAAAATATTTAGACAGAATTTGATGATCTTGAATCTCAAATGAGACAGATGATTTTTAAAAGTTTGTATTTTACGGAATTCATTAGGGGTGGGGAGAAGAGAGCTCGCAGGCTTAGAACCACACTTTTCTTTTTTTTAAAAAGGTATTTCTTGGTTTCAGAATCATTCCAAAGCTTCATCAAAGCAAAGGGAGGTTTCTTTTCTTATTTTCAAATGAAACATTAAAACTATTTTCTCTGAGGATGGAGGCAGAAAAATCCCTCCCAAAATTTAGAACTCTTAAGAAGTTATGGTCACTTTCCTTTAATGTCGGTTTAAAAATGTAAATGATATGCAGTCGGCTCCAGTGTGTTAACACTCCCCCGGATCCTTGAAAAGACGATGGACGACAAATAAACCATATCTAATGGAAGCTGTTGTTGAAACAATTACCGATTCCTACCTTAAATGCTTACACAGCATTTCAGATTTTAAAATAAAATTTCATCCCCTGATTCACGCTGGTGTCTCAACCCCATTGTTTATATAGCACAACCTCCTGGCAGTGAAATGCAAATACATCAGTTTAACAGGACCCGGAACATGTAACGGACTTACAGGGGCCAACTGGGAAGTAGACCCTAGACTACAACTCCAGACCTTTTAGGAGATGAAAATAGGTAACAGGGAGAAACTAGAACACACAAAGTCAGAGCACAATAGATCCGCAGATACCCCATCGATAATGCATTATTCCATCAACATCAATATTAATTTCAAATTGTAAAGGTGAAGAAGTTAGGGAGTCTAAATCCACAAGTCTGACCCCCCAAGCCACGTGGGAAAGGCAAACCTGGGGGCCCACTGTCACAGTTGCCTGTGTGTCACCCCCTAGGCACTGGAGGGTCTTACGCCAATTTGTTATTTCTATTTCCGTAGCCTCGCAGAACATATAAATCATTTTAAGAATAGGTTTGCCCAGTGAAAGTTCAGTTAATCCAATGAATCATTCTTAGAAAGTATTTCTAATTATAAACAGCAAATGACTTGTTCACAGTCATTTTTGGCTTTTTTTTTTTTTTAACTAGTTTTAGTGTAATGCACTGTTTTTAATAGAAAAAAAATAAAAAGACAAAACAAAAGATAAGGAAAAATAAAAGCATTCTAGTAACATGTCAAGATAGGAAAGGGAATAGAACTGGCAGGAGAAAACTGTAATGACACCTTTGATTCAAGAGCTGCTTTTTTTTTTTTAAGTTTATTTTGAGAGACAGCGAACGAGCAAGCGAGTGCTGAAGGGGCAGAGAAAGAGGGGAAAGAGCGAGAATAACAGGCAGGCTCCAAACCATCAGCATAGAGCCCGATGTGGGGCTTGAACTCACAAACCGTCAGATCACAACCTGAGTTGAAATCAAGTCAGACACTTAACCAACTGAGCCACCCAGGCACCCCGAGGGCTGTTTTTGATGTGACTTCAGTGTGTTGAGAACGGACTGGCAAATGGTTTTCTATTTTGCTGATAGCCAGGTCTCATCTGAATATCACACTCTGCTTCACTTTTTAATTGTTTTAAAAAAAATTTTTCTTTTGATTTGAGAGAGAGGAGAGAGGCAGCATGTGCATGTAAGTGGCACTCAATCCCACAACCCTGAGACCATGACCTGAGCCAAAATGAAGAGTTGGACACTCAACCGACAGAGTGTTTTAATTTTTACCTGGCAAGTCTACCGTCTCTGTGTAAGCATTTTTGGATGATGTAGGCCACTCTGATGCTGATACCTCAGGACCCTTCCTTTCCTGAGTGAAGAAAGAGAACCCTCTCCTCAGTCACCAAGCATATGCGCTGGGACGAGGGCTGTGCCAGAGGTGGCAGAAGGGGGCTCAGGACTCAACTCCACCTGACAGTTGTCCTGTACAGATGTTAGTGACTGAATACTGAAAGCGAAAACATTTATACAATTCAGCTGGTGACATTTGCACGCTCTATATGATGCAGAGCATATTGGGTGGTGGGTTCTGCTGAAATAATACTAATCAGAGGCTAAAATGATCTCCTTTGACCTTCTGCAGGTAGTTACCTCTTCGACAAGCTATTTATTCTGCAAGAGTTTAATGCTCTCTGCACGAAGGAAGGGCCAAGTGCTGCTGTGAGTTTTCCCTGTCAGTCCCAGTGTAAGACAAGTGCTGGTGTTTAGTAGGGGTGACTGCTCTGCCAAGCCCAGTAGTAATGAGATTCACAGATTTGGGGGGCAAGGAGGTTCCATCTGCAGAGGGCTCATCACCCCTGGACTCTCAGATCTAAGGCAGAATATCAAGGAATCGGGGGACCTTCATTCGACTCTATGAGGTTCAAGTCATACTGTGTTCCTGTGGGAGGGAAAGCACCACTTTATGGTGTGCCTTGGTTGTTTGGTCTTTGTAATGGGAATAATTAGCACCCATCTCATGAGGCAATTGTGTTAGAAGAAAAGATGAGCTAATGTCTGAGAGGTACTTTAAGGTCCTTGGAGAAAGGCAGCATCTAAATACGAGGAATTATTATTATATAAGAAACCTAATTACTCTCAGCAGGAAGCAA